TAATTTCCATGCTATTTCAGATTAGTTTTACGATCAAATAACATTCCACTTAAAAGATCAATTTAACATTTAAATCACTAGGAAGTAAGCTATCTTTAGTTCAAATATGTAATTTTAGGACTTCCCTGGTGGCGCAGTGGATAAGAATCTGCCTGCCAATTCAGGGAACACAAGCTGGATCTCTGGTCTGGGAAGTTTCACGTGCAGTGGAGCAACTAACCCCATGTGCTCTAGAGCCCACGTTCCCCAACCAATGAAGGGTAGCCCCCGCGCATGGCACCAGAGCAATACCTTGCATAGCAACCAAGACCCAGCGCAACCAAAAACAAATAAATAAAACTTTTTTAAAAAGAGGGACCAGAGAGCTGGTGAAAGTTTATTTTTAAAACAATTTCATTATAATTTGGGGGTGGAGCAATCCCACTTCTGGGCATACACACCGAGGAAACCAGATCTGAAAGAGACACATGCACCCCAATGTTCATCGCAGCACTGTTTATAATAGCCAGGACATGGAAGCAACCTAGATGCCCATCAGCAGACGAATGGATGAGGAAGCTGTGGTACATATACACCATGGAATATTACTCAGCCATTAAAAAGAATTCATTTGAATCAGTTCTAATGAGATGGATGAAACTGGAGCCCATTATACAGAGCGAAGTAAGCCAGAAAGATAAAGACCATTACAGTATACTAACACATATATATGGAATTTAGAAAGATGGTAACGATAACCCTATGTGCAAAACAGAAAAAGAGACTCCTATGTATAGAACAGACTTGTGGACTCTGGGAGAAGGCGAGGGTGGGATGTTTCAAGAGAACAGCATTGAAACACGTATATTATCTAGGGTGAAACAGTTCACCAGCCCAGGTTGGGTGCATGAGACAAGTGCTCGGGCCTGGTGCACTGGGAAGACCCAGAGGGATTGGGTGGAGAGGGAGGTGGGAGGGGGGACCGGGATGGGGAATACATGTAAAAAAAAAAAAATAAAATAAAACCTAGCATCATTCTAGACAAAAAAAAAAAAAAAAAATTTGGGGGTGGCATTTTCATCAAGTTTCTTTAATTAATTAGCAACAGTGACCTCTAACGTTTTATTATACACTAAGCACCTAATAAGTTAGGCCCTAATTTCTACGTATTACCTCATTCTCTTAATCCTCTGAGGAAAGTATAGGCTCATTTTACAGAAGAACCCCAGCCTTGATGCTGACTATTTATGGTTCTGATTGCCAGGACCTGTATATAAAGTTTTAACGCTAAAATGACACAGAGCTTCCCTGGTGGCTCACTGATAAAGAACCCACCTGCCAATGTAGGAGATGCAAGAAACGTCTGATCCCTGGGTCAGGAAGATCCCCTGGAGAAGGAAATGGCAACTCGCTCCAGTACTCTTGCCTGGAAAATCCCATGGATAGAGGAGCCTGGAGGGCTACAGTCCATGGGGTCGTGAAGAGTCAGACACGACTGAGCACATATACACAGGTATAAAGTTTTAATACTAAAAATGATTACAGAAAGGTAAGTCTCAAACTCTAATGTGCAAGAGAAATCGTGGCGAATCTTGCTAAACTGTAGATTATGATTCATAAGGTCTGAGTGAAGCCTATGATTCTACAATTCTAACAAGCTCTTAGGTGCTAGGAGTACTGCCAACCACACTTGTAGCAAGGACCTACAGGTAGCAATAAGCCACAGACCACCAAAAAATGTCTCTAAAGACTAAAACAAAGTTTTAAAAAATCAAATTTTTCACAAAAGCCACAGAACTAGAACTTATATTAAAATATTTCTTGATGGGATATTGCACATCTTAGAAATATCTTGGGGACTTCTCTGGTGGTCCAGTGAATAGGACTCCAAGCTTCCAATGCTTCCAAGGCAGGAGAGATGGGTTCGATCCCTGGTCAGGGAACTAAGACCCCACATGCTATATGGGGCAGCCAAAAAAAAAAATCTTCATAACGACTCTTGTTTTCTTTCTCAGTTTAAGTCAAGAGTCCAATTTCTTGGAGTTTTGTGGAGGGGTTTTTCCCCTAAAAACCCTGATTTTTTAATCAAGGCTGAAAAGCTAAATGCATGGGAGACTATTTCTTTTTTTTTTTTTTCATTTATTTTTATTAGTTGGAGGCTAATTACTTTACATCATTGCAGTAGTTTTTGTCATACATTGAAATGAATTAGCCATGGATTTACATGTATTCCCCATCCCGGTCCCCCCTCCCACCTCCCTCTCCACCCGATCCCTCTGGGTCTTCCCAGTGCACCAGGCCCGAGCACTTGTCTCATGCATCCTACCTGGGCTGGTGATCTGTTTCACCCTAGATAATACACATGTTTCGATGCTGTTCTCTTGAAACATCCCACCCTTGCCTTCTCCCAGAGTCCACAAGTCTGTTCTATACATAGGAGTCTCTTTTTCTGTTTTGCATATAGGGTTATCGTTACCATCTTTCTAAATTCCATATATATGTGTTAGTATACTGTAATGGTCTTTATCTTTCTGGCTTACTTCGCTCTGTATAATGGGCTCCAGTTTCATCCATCTCATTAGAACTGATTCAAATGAATTCTTTTTAATGGCTGAGTAATAGTCCATGGTGTATATGTACCACAGCTTCCTCATCCATTCGTCTGCTGATGGGCATCTAGGTTGCTTCCATGTCCTGGCTATTATAAACAGTGCTGCGATGAACATTGGGGTGCATGTGTCTCTTTCAGATCTGGTTTCCTCGGTGTGTATGCCCAGAAGTGGGATTGCTGGGTCATATGGCAGTTCTATTTCCAGCTTTTTAAGAAATCTCCACACTGTTTTCCATAGCAGCTGTACTAATTTGCATTCCCACCAACAGTGTAAGAGGGTTCCCTTTTCTCCACACCCTCTCCAGCATTTATTGCTTGTAAACTTTTGGATAGCAGCCATCCTGACTGGCGTATAATGGTACCTCATTGTGGTTTTGATTTGCATTTCTCTGATAATGAGTGATGTTGAGCATCTTTTCATGTGTTTGTTAGCCATCTGTATGTCTTCCTTGGAGAAATGTCTGTTTAGTTCTTTGGCCCATTTTTTGATTGGGTCATTTATTTTTCTGGAGTTGAGCTGGAGGAGTTGCTTGTATATTTTTGAGATTAATCCTTTGTATGGGAGACTATTTCATGTTGCCATACCCTTCAAGCAGATCCCTGTCCTTCACTCACCCACATATAACACAACCTCTCACTGTTTAAATTCTAGAGGCAAGAGTTAGTGGAGATTTTAGGAGCTGGACACCAAAGTTCTTCCAGATGAAAAGTAAAGTTCTACTAAAAATAGCACCTTACAAAAAGGCAGTGATAAATACCATTTATCATTGGCTTCCATTTATGGCCTTAGGCGACAAAATTCCAGCAATGAGGTGGTAGCTAACATTCTATACAAACTACTGAATTTCATTCCTTTACCAGATCCCTTAAGTGGCAAGGTCTATTTACTTTCAAAAGTCCAGAGTGAACAAAGCAAGGTACTTAACAAGATCCCTAAATTCCACCTGCGTCCAAGTTCCCTTTCTCCCAGCTCTTTTATTCACTGGTGATTATCTGTACTGTGATTATTGTACTCAAACATCAGCTAGCTGCCTCTTCTAAATGGCACCTCCCCCACCTTCTCCATTCTCTTCACTAACAGCAATGCCTAAGTCCAGAACCAATATATCTCTGAGAACATTCCAGTTTACCAGATAAGGTCAGTTTAAAATTCTAGAGAGGAATAACCTGCTCCGTTTGTCTTTCCTGAGAGCCCTTCAAAAACTACCATCTCACAATCAGCAGAACAAGCCTTTCACCCAAAAGAAAGATAAAACAGTCTATGATTCTGCAATTTACAAACACTGAGACCTTTATTGAAAGGACAGTCACATTAAATGATTCCCAAGGAGCCTTTACCGACGTGCGCAAGTAAGTACAAGGAGACCAAGGCTTGGAAGAAACAAAATGCATATACCGTGCAGGTCAGTGCAAATGGCTTCTCTAGCTAAGAAGTCAATGAAGTTTTGCTAAGCGGCCTCAGAGGAAGGCCTACCTGTGTCAGGGAATACCGGGACACAGTTTTGTCCCAACCCGAGCATGCTCTATCCACATCAGAGCTAAGCAACCAACCAAACAGGCTCGTTAGAAACCCACAAAAGAGGGGCAGAGAGGACAGGACCCTGCCCTGAACGCCCTGGAAGCTAAAAATAAGTATTCTGAGGAACGAGCTCTACCATAGACAAGCCCAACAGAAAGTTCTCTGTTTCTATTACCTCCAAAACTGGCTGCCCTCCCGCAGTGCTTTAACTCTGGGTACCAATTGGGCAATGCCAGCCACCGTGCTGGGGCGGAGGATCCAGAGATGCCGGTTCTATCTTCTGGGCTAATTAGAAGGAATCAAAACCTCTGCAATATAAACTGGAGACTCTGCGGGCAGAGTCGGGCTCCCTCAATGCTTCTAGACTACATGCCTCCATTCAACCAACATTTATCTGAGCGTCTACCATATGCTCAGCACTCTGCTGGGCACCGGAGGAAGAAATCTTCCCCAGTAGTGGAGGCAGAGACAAACGAGGACGGTCCGGAGGAGTGGAGGACGTGCGGCCCCCGAAAACCAACACAAGTTGTTGCTATGACCAGCAGCACCCAGGGGAAGGCGTGACCCCCGCCGGGTTCCGCGCACCACCAAGTCCGACAGTGAAAGAGGCCCGCTATAGCGAAGGCTGGCGTGGACAGGTAGGCCCGGGGGCAGGTGTTCAGGTAGAAGGCGCACACCTGAGGCGGCAGGGGTCGGGAAGGCGGGGTCCCCAGGGGAGGAGGGAGGGAGGCCCGGGGATCTGGCTAGAAGAGGGGGCGCAAGGAGTCAGGAGATGGGAAGCCCGGGGCGCGGTGGAGGCCGGCCGGGCCTGCGCCCCCTGAAGCGGGAGCAGCGAGGGAAGGCGCGCGGCTAGGCCGCCCGCCCGCACCTGGGGCCCCGCCCGGCACCTACCACTTGGGCGACCTTGAGGCAGCCGAGCGCGCCGCGCAGGTAGTCGGGGTCGCAGCGCAGGCCGGCCAGCCCGCGGCGCTGGCTCACCGGCTCGGTGGTGGGCTGGTACGGGCTGCTGGCGCCCGAGATCATGGAGGTGCTCGAGGCCTCGCCCTCGAAGCCGTCCAGCTCCTCGCCGCTCCGCATGCTGCCGCCCGGCCCAAGCCGCCTAGCGCGGCTGGCTCCCGGCGCCCGGAGCTGGCGGGCTCAGCAGGGCCGCCGCATTGCCGCCGCCGCCGCTGCCGACGGAGACGACGACAGACTGACTTCCCGCACCCGCGCCGCCGCCGCCTCTGCACCCGCCGCCCCGCTGCGGCCGCGGTTCGGTCCGCTCGGGCTCGGCTCCCGCCGCCTCAGCAGCGGAAAGGGAGGGAGGCGGGAGCGAGTGGAGAGAGGAGGAGGCGGGAGCCGGCGCGGCGGGCCGGGAGGGGGCGGAGCGAGCGCCCGCCCGCTGGCCGCTCAGCGGCGCTCTGCTCCGCGGCTCCCGCGAGGGGAGGCGGCGGCCAGCGCCGCGGGGCCTCGGAGAGGCGGGGCCTCTAGCCAGGCGGGGCTGGGGGCGGAGCTCCGGGAACTCCGGTCCCGCCCTCACCTGCCCGAGCGGAGGCCCGGGCCGCGGCTGCGCGTCAGGCCATCACGGCGTGGGAGGGCAGGGGTCCAGGAGATTGGGGATTGTGGGGACCCGGGACAGTGGGGGCTGTCGGAGGGTTGAGGTGGGCCTAGGGGGGCACGGTGTTGCTTTCTCAGGGCGCTGCCTCAGTTTCTCCCCTGGAGGAAGTAGGCTAGAGGACTTTCTGGTGAAGGCCAAGATGTGCGGCCTCAGTGCTGAGAACAGTAAGAAGTCCCGGGTGGACTTGACTTGGACTGTTTGACTGACAAGAGGGGGCTCAGTGTCTGGGCTCCCACACCGGGCAACAAACCGGTTCTGAGGTCAGGGACACGAGTGAGGAGAAATCAGGGTGAGTGAATGAGGGGGGTCGTTTAGTACCGGGTCTGCAAGACAGACACACAGTAAGATTTGTGAATAACTCCCAGTGTATGTTCTGGGTCCACCTGCCGGACCGAGGAGTGGCCTCTTGCCCATAGGAGACCCTTGGTGACGAACATTAGTTTCCTCTCTTAGATGCAAAGTTTTTACCATCTCTGTCTAATCATCAAGACAAGTAAAACACAGATTTTTTACACTGACGGGCATTAATTAGGGGCCAATTTGCAATTCAAGTGTGAAGGCTAATTTTGAGCTTAAGTAAAACACTGGCTTTCTAAGAATTGTCGCTTTGGTATTGAACCCTTCCACACCTCAAATATCTAGAGCTTATCATGCTTTGAGCACCGAGGAAGACATTTGAAAGTGTTATTCCCATTTTATAGAAGACTTGAGTAAGGTTTCAGACTGGTAGTCCCAGGCCACACAGTTGGTAGGCAGAGCCGGCTCATGTCCAATTTTTTTTCACTACACGTTGTTCAGTTCAGTTCAGTTCAGTTGCTCAGTCATGTCTGACTCCTTGTGACCCCATGAACCGCAGCACGCCAGGCCTCCCTGTCCATCACCAACTCCCGGAGTCTACCCAAACTCATGTCCATTGCCTAGTATATATTTCAGATGAGGTTGTGAAGTGAGAAGCAGTAAATGCCGTAACTAAGGAGATCTCAATTTAAACAGCTCTCACCTTTTAGTTACCAAAGGTGGGAAAGACAAAGACTCTAACACTCTATTCAACCAACAAATATTTATTGGGCACTTCTGTGCTAAAGGATATGTTAAGACCTGGAGATTGCCAGTGAAAGACAAGGTGAATGACTGGATGCAGGCTTTGGCCTCTGCTTTCTTCCCAAATCCCAGTGAAATGACAGTTACACGGATTTATGTTTTAAAGGCATAAAACCACAGGGACAAAGAATGAGAGAGGAGACAATGGCAACAAAATGTTGGAAGCAGAAGAGCAAAGGGGCAAGTGGTAACTGACTTAGCAGATCCAAGAAAGCTAAACCCTAAGCTGGTACAGGGGAAGGCTGAAATGCAACCTAGGTCATATCACAAGAAAAAAGGCTTGGGAATCATGACATCACCAAGCACATCTAGAAGTGGGGGTGAAAGCAGAAATCTAAAGAACAAACTAAAAAAAGGCCTCAACTGAAAGTCTTTTAAGAAGCAAATGGATTCCTGGATCCCCTCCCTTGCCCATCCCCCACAACTAGAACTTTTTTCTCTAGAGAAGGTAAGACAGAGAGTCCCTTAGCTAGGGGACAGTAGGCACAGTTGAGGGTAGGGGGTACCATATTAAAAATTATATGTATTTGTGTCCTTGGATATTAAATAATATGAAAGCAAAACAAATTTTAATTCGTTATGAGTTAAAGCATTACTTTGCCAACAAATGTCCATCTAGTCAAGGCTATGATTTTTCCAGTGGTCATGTATGGATGTGAGAGTTGGATGGTGAAGAAAGCTGAGCACCGAAGAATTTATGCTTTTGAACTGTGGTGTTGGAGAAGACTCTTGAGAGTCCCTTGGACTGCAAGGAGATCCAACCAGTCCATCCTAAAGGAGATCAGTCCTAGGTGTTCATTGGAAGGACTGATGCTGAAGCTGAAACTCCAATACTTTGGCCACCTCATGTGAAGAGTTGACTCATTGGAAAAGACCCTGATGCTGGGAGGGATTGGGGGCAGGAGGAGAAGGGGACAAGAGAGGATGAGATGGCTGGATGGCATCACCAACTCGATGGACATGAGTGTGAGTAAACTCCAGGAGTTGGTGATGGATAGGGAGGCCTGGCGTGCTGTGATTCATGGGGTCACAAAGAGTCGGACACGACTGAGCGACTGAACTGAACTGAACTGATGAATTAAAGAAAATCTCACAGGAAAAAGAATCAAAAGACAAAGAGGTGGAAAATGAGAGAAAAGAAAAAAGAGACTAATAGAATAATAAGACTCTCATAAAGTTAGAACAGAGAATATGGAGGGAAGAAAACAAAAAATAATAATTCGGGAACATGTTTACAGAGCCAAAGGATATGAGTTTTGGATTTAAAGGACCTATCAGTGCCCAGCACAATGAATCAACATGGACCAGCATCAGATACAGCAGATCACTGGGGCAAAGAGAAGAGCCTCAAGGTTCCAGACAACTGACCAGATTTCATTATAAAGGATCAGGAATCAGAAAAGCATCAAGAAAGAAAGAGAAAGGCATCAGACCTTTCAAAAGCAACTTAGAGAAGTACAAGGGAATGGAGTAAATCATTCCATATCCTGAGGAAAAATGACGCCTATTTAGAAGTCTGATTCCAGCTGGAGTATCAGCTGGGTATGATGACTTATGAAAGACTCTTTTGGACATGAAAGACTCCTTCTGTCTCTTCTCAGGAGGCTGCTGGTGACCACCACGAGTACAAGGATTTAAACCAAAGAAGCAGAGGACATGGGATCCAGGAAAGGGTGGATGCAGCCTAGGGAGAGGTGATAAGGGTCCTTATGGTGGGGGGGACATAGGCCCCTATGCAGCAGGGCTGGGGGTTAACCAGACCAGATTAGAGCAGCTAGAGGCTTCGGGAGACACCTTCAAGATGAAATTATTCAGTTCGTCAAAAAATTCGTTCAGGTTTTTCGCCATCTTACCCAAAGAACTTTTTGGCCAATCCAGTAAGAATGTGTCTGAATATACAGAAAAGAAAGATTCATAGTTTCAGTAAAGTTTTCAGATAAATTAGTGATAAATGTGTGCTTCCCAGGCGGCTCAGTGGTAAAGAATCTGCCTGCCAATGCAGGAGAGGCAGGAGACGTGGGTTTGATCCCTGGGTTGGGAAGACCCCCTGGAGGAGAAAATGGCAACCCACTCCAGTATCCTTGTTGGGAAAATCCCATGGACAGAGGAGCTTGATGGGCTACAGTCCATGGGGTCGCAAAGAGTCAGGCACAACTGAGTAACTGAGCCCACACACACATATAGGGATAAATGCACAGAAAATTAAGGAAATATTCATAGATGAACTGTGGGGAAATAAAATGATACATAGAAAAGAAGTATGGTAAATCACAGGTGAATAATACCTGCATAATTATAAGAATGTAAACAATGAGTGCTGATCTAACCACAGTACCTGGTCATATTAGGAAGAAAGGACAGAGAGACAGCATGTGTCCATGTGGGATAGGAAGAAGGGGAAGATGGGCAAGAGACCTAAATACTCATCATCCATGCTTAAAACTCAAGAGGTAGCAGTATATGCATGTCAATTAAAAAGATAATGGTAAAGGGACTTCCCATATAATTATGAATACGATTGGTTAAAAGTTTTGAAATGTCAGTTCTGGGAAGCAGGAAATGTAATGGGGGTTATAGGCCTTGTAGAACTATTTGATTCTCTCAACGATGGGTTCATGTCATTTTTATGTGTTCATATAATTTTAATAAATGCTAGATCTTAAAATGATTTTTTAAAAAGAAACTTGAGCATTTGATATCATCCCTGCCAGCACAGACGTGGGGAACAAGCATTGAAACCAGTAAAATGTGCTGAGAATTGTTCATGGTGGTAAGGGAATTTCCAGGAAGGATTTCACTGAGTCTGTGGGTCAGAATTTCAGCTGAGGTCTGAAATAGGAAGAGCAGTTAGCAAGGCAAAGAGATGATAAGGATTGGTGGAAAAGTGTTTCAGCAAGAGGGAACAACATGCACAAAGACCCAGAGATAAGTGAGAAAGCAAAGCACAATGAAGAGGGTGAAATGTGGCTTTGGGTGTCCCTGCAGGGCCTCGGGGGACATGTGAGAGGATGGATTAAGCAGTGTTAAGCAGAAGAGTGACACCTCCCTCTAGAATGTTCTCTTGGCTTCATCAAAGGAGATAGATTGAGCGGAAGCAAGACTGGAGGCTCCTCTCCAGTCCTCATTAACTGTTCCCTGTTCCTGGACACTAGCCTACATTTATTTTTAGTTCTAGGGACACATGCAAAATTTTTCCTTCTGGTTTTTAACAAAAGTTCACAGACTTTCAATGGGCGTTGTTGGGAATCCCACATAGTAGATAAAACTTGGCATCGTTGCCTTCCTCAAGTGGTCAACTGTAATAGAGCATGAGCTTGTGGCTAGAGCTGTGCCTCCAGGTGTCTGCAAATGCTGAAGACAAAATGAAGACGAGAAATGA